AATATCATGCACTCTCTAAAGTTAAACATAAACAAGGAACATTTATTGAAGTACTTTTATATGCCAGGCACTACACTAGAAAACATGTTCAAATTTTCTGTTTAATCTTTAGAATAACCTCATGAAGATGAATGCTGTTATCATTTCAATTCAGCAGTAAGGAAAGATGCTTCAGGAAGTTAAGTACTTTAAGGGCTGGGGATGTAGCCCACTGGTAGAGCACACTTGCTTAGCATATGCAAGGCCTTGGGCTCAGTCCTTAGCACTGGGGGAATAAAAGACATTAAATAGATGCTCCCACTAACTCCTTCCTTGAGCTATTACATCTTTAATCTATTAATGTACCTGTAAGGGTAGGGCCTGAGATTCTACATTTGTACCATGCTCCCAGGTAATGAAAAAGATGACCTAAGGAACACAATTTTAGTAGCAAATAATTAGTCATGCTGTTCTCTTTTGTGAGATTTTATAATTCCTATAGAATGTAATCTTTTTAAGACTACCAATTAGTCTCTTAAATTTTGAGATTAAAAAAAAAAAAACAACTCTTTTTTTTCCCAAAGCAAGCCAAATATCCTCAGCTCTAATATTACTTAAGAAAAGGTAGAGATATCTTAAGAAAAGTCAGACTGAGAGGAAAGGATTTGCTGCAAATTGTGTTTCAGCCAGTCAGCATCCTATTTCATTCTCCTTTTTCTCTTATCTCAAGAATAATGTGAGTTATCTCAAAATTTAGTGGTTCGTTAAGTTTCCCTAATTATTGATGGAAAATTCAGAATTCTGAAGAGGCTTATTTCCTCTTAGGAACATTAGGATGTTCCTTTCCTACATCCTAATTCCTTGGGGAATTTTCTCTTGTGCTTATTTATCCATCATCTTCCTGCCAACCTGTGGCAATGCTGGGTTTTACCATCTTTATTCCCAATACAAAGGCAAAGGATAAGCATCTGTTCCTGCCTGTGGTTAGAATATGTATGCAAGAGAAATATTCTTCAAGAATACCACTTTTCTAATTTTAATACTAAGTCCACAAAATTAACATAGGTATTCAAAAATTGCCATTGGTTTCTTAACAAAAAACAAATGTCAAGCTTTAATAATAAAATAATGAAGATCCAGAGACATTATAGCTACATCACTATAAAATAGGAATGCATGATGAAAATGTAAATCTTTATATAATAGAGATGGGGGTTGAGGTAAGGCTCATGGGCAGGCTATAGAGGAAATTTATGAATTTGAAATACATTTTAAGGGAATAGTCATTAATATTTTGTATAAAACTGCTTCAAGAAGTAAAGACTTATGTTTATATAGGTGGCATTTAAGCCTCTGAATTGTGGGAAGATGATGATACAAGTATAATTATGATGTTTAATTTGCTACTATAAAAGTAATCATGCGACCAAATTGGTTTTGGCATGGCAGAAATTGGATCACATCTTTCTGGGTTGGCAGTAGGAATGGATGCCACTGCTGGAGCATTTGTGCCCTGTGCTAGGCAAACTCTGAAAGGAACCATTGTCTGCCGAGCTTCTCACTGTCTCTTGGAGCAGTCATCCTATGTGATCTAAGTCACCTCTCATAAAACCCTGAAAGGCAGCTGTGCTTATCCTCCTGACACACATAAAGAACAAGACAGAGCAAAACTAAACACAAAACAGGCCTGAGGAGGTTAAACCTCCTGAATTTCTGGTCTTAACTAGTAAGTGGAAGAGCCAGACCTGATTTTAGAGTTTTCAAACAGTAATGTCCATATTCCTTCCTGTCTATTTGATAAGTCAAATATTCATTTGCCTGAGATTTGAGACTGTATTTTACAAGTTGAAGCCTTGTACATCAATGGGGGATGGAAATTTACCTGGGCTTCCAACAGGGGAGTTTCAGTGAAAGATGTCAAGCATTCCTGTTGTTGAGAGAGCTGGCATCTGCTGTCTTGGAGGGAAGAAAGTGAGGAGCACACAGATGAGACATGATGGAAGGACCATCATGATTCTATGCCATGGAGTCATACTATCTTTGATCACAGTGTATTTTATTAGAAACTATGTCATGGGGAGACAACATTTTCATTGGTCTGTTCCCTTACTCCCTTATTCATTCATCACTGTCTAGTAATTGTGTTCACTGCAATGTCATATTTGTGTAATACTCTGTGTTACCATTCATTTCAAAGTACTTTTTTCTTATGAAATATTAATCAAGAGAAGGTAAGTAAATGACACAGTACAGGTATTATGACTACCGATTTATAGATGAAGACCTAAAATCAAATGCTATATAATCGCTCAAAGTCACAATAACTGCTGAGTGTCAGCCACACATTTAGATTTCCTGTTTCAACCTGTATACTCTGTCCATGATTTCTGTCTAGTTAATAGGCAGCACACTCAACTCAGTTGGAAATAGTATAAACATAATTGTATACTGATTCTAACATCCAGAGATAATTGAAATCAAAGATACTTTAAAATTGGAATATTTCAATGAGGTCTAGTGATAATGTTCTTATTTTTCTTTGTGGAATGATTAAAGACAATTAATATATGTGCTATCTCACATTCATTTTTGTTGTGGATCATTTAAAATCCACTTTCCACATATTTTGCAAATATATAGTTAATAAATGCAGGCACCATGTAGTAAATAGAGCTCTTGAACTTATTCCTCTTATCCAACTGAAATTTTGTATTTGTTGACCAATATCTCCCTAATCCTCAACCCTCCAGTCACTGGTAACCACCATTATACTTTCTATTTGGATGAAATTGAATTTTTTAAGTTCCATATATAAGTGATAGTATGTGGTATTTATCTCTCTGTGCCTGACTTATTTTACTTAACATAGAATGTTCCAGGTTCATCCAAGTTATTTCAAATGGCAGGCTTGCTTTTTTTTTTTTAAAGGCTGAATAGTATATTCCACTTGTTGAAGTACCCAGTTTTCTTTATCTGTTCATTTGTTGATGGACACCTAGATTGATTCCATTGATTCCATATCTTAGCTATTGGGAATAATACTGCAATAAACACAAGAGTGCAGATTTCATTTGGCATACTGATTTCATTTCCTTTGAGTAACTCCCAGAAGTGAAATTGCTGTATCATATGCTTACCTACTTGCATGATTTTTTGCCTTATTCTTTTTTTAAGGTTGACTTTATTTATTATTATTATTGTACCAGAAGTACATTGTGACATTTACAAAAGTGCTTACATTATATCATAGTTGCATTCACCCCCTCCATCATTCTCCTTTATCCCCCTGCCTTCCCATTCCTGAAATAGTTTCAACAGTTACCATTTTTCCATTTACATACATGTGTACAGAATATCTGCACCATATTCACTCTCCTTCACCCTTTCCATACACCTTCACTCCTCCCACTGGTACCAACCCTAAACAGGACCTGTTCTGCCCTCCTGATCTCTGTTTTGAAAAAAAAATAATAAAATAAAAAAGATATTTTTGTTTGTTTAAGATAGCAACATAGGGAGTTTACTTGTAACATTTCCATGTATATATGTATTATAACCCAGACTGGTTCATCCTATTTTTCTTCTTTCTACCTTGGTGATTTCAACAGGTTTAAAAATTCTGTATTCATTCTTGTACATCAGCCATATTTACCTTCTTAACTTCCTTCTTTTACCCTCCCTCTCATTTGTTAACTCCCCAGCCCCCTTAGCGTGACCTGTTTTTCAAAATACTGCTTGTATTTGTATTAGGTCTGTACTTCACATATGAGAGACAGTATGTGGCCTTTGGTTTTCTGAACTTACTAATTTCACTTAAGATGATGTTCTCCAGTTTTACCTGCAAATTACAAAATTTCATCCTCTTTAAACATTTTCTTGCATGTTGTTCTTTCTCATTTTCTATGACTTTTATGATAATCCTTATTTGCTAATCTGTTTTCTGATATTTTCCTCAATGCTTTAACCTTTTTCTTCCTAGTTCCTACCATGAGGCTATACTACACACAGTTTCTATACTTTGATTTTCATATGTAAAAAACATTTCCCATTCTTTTATTTTCTGTAACTGGATTTATAGGCATCTAAAATGAATTGTGAATGACTAGTAACGAGCTACATGAAGACAGATAATATTAAATAAAAAATTTTAAAACTTAACTGAAAATAGGCAGCATTTAACTTGTTTAAGAGAAGAAGAGTTCCTAGCGTGAAAATATAGTGAACATTAAACTATTAGAACATACTACATTTTACTTACATCTTCATATATTATTACTGATCCAGCCAAGGAAAATAGGCCTGTAAGCCATTTCAAAATAAGTAATTAAAAATTAGTCATGGATGCTTTCAAATATAAATAGGAAATTAAAAAATAGTTCCTTCTTGAATAAATATTGCTCAAATATTCTGGAAGGTTTTTTTCCCTTATTTTGGTATTAGAACACATCCAATTTTATTTAAATCTACATGCATCAAAACAGAAAATGGTACTGATTAATATTTAGAGTTTTCATGTATCAGTTAAATAAAAGAGAAAAAAGGAAAATCTAAATTATAAAACTTCTAAAATTCAATTTCAATACTAAGCTTTTGTTTTTCACTTAAAATTTTTGTACAAATGTTCTTCTGTTCACTTAAATATAAGTTTAGATTATGCACAAAAATAAAATTTGATTAATAAAAATATACATTACCTCAATTGATTATCTAATTTTTTTAATAAATGTTATAAATACTTATAAAATTCTCACATGGCAAGTATGAAATTTAAAATTTAAATTTTATCATTATGTTTTCAAAATTTTAAGACCGTATGCTCTAATCCTTGTTTATTGTTTTGAACATTTTTGTTATGATTTTTAATAAATTTAGGAAAGGTACATTTTTCTTATGGAAGTTACTTTTAGTTAGTAGGAAGAATGCAGTATTAAGAAAATGAACATATATTTTATCTTTTAGTTAAAACATCACTTTTCCTCTTATTTAATTATATTTCTACTGCTGCTTTTTTCTTTCAACAGGCTGAATTAAATGACCCAACTGATCCTTTCACTAGATACAGTACAAAAGTTCCACCACATGTGGGGGAAGAAGTTTTCTCTAAATATATTGGATGGAGAATTGCTAACACACTTTCCAAACTACTCTTTCCTTCTCTTGATGCCATGTCGTTACTTTGAAGAAACCAGTGATAAAGTATCATCAAAGGAAATATCCAAATGAAAAACAGGAGTCCATGAAAAAGAGAGTTATCCATTTTACTTTAAGGTAAGTGAAGCTCTGTTAACTCTATTATCATAATACACTCCAAAGTCCCAGAAATTATAGATAAACATGTGTGACATTATTTAACTTAGTTTCTGTTCTTCAATTCAAATCTTGATTCCATCACCCCCTAATTAAGTCACTTTTGAGCAAGATAATGTTCCCTCAGAAACTGTTTCTTCATAACTAAAATTTTTATTATATAATGTAAATCAATGCTAATGAAGTTCTTCTGTGGGAGGTACATCAAATTAAAAACAAAAACTATATCATTCAATATTAAAAAATATAAGACTATTACATTTGTATATTTGTTTGTATATGTCTGTATACAAACACATATACATATTTAATGTGTCTTGAACACAGTAAGCATTCAACAAGTGGGAGATACAAAGATATTTATTATTTTTTATGCTTCCAGCCCTTATAAATGCTTTCAGAGCATTTATGATGCTAATGATTTCAGAGAAACTTGGACTTGGACAGATTTATTTAAATGAATAATTTTCAAGTTTATTTGCCATTTCTTCAGTGATAGATTTCTTTCAGATTCTTAGCATAATTGTTACTATTTAACATATTTAGGTGGTTCCATACTGTCACTCTTCTGCTCTATTAAAAAACAGATGAAGAATTATTCTGTTGACATGTAAGATGGACCATATTTTACATTTTTAAATCTTTCAGTAACACTTGGATCAAGACAGAAAGTTTTTATTTATTTATTTTTCTCTTTTTTATTGGAATATATACATTGTACAGGGGGAGTTCATTATGATAATTCTGAATAGGTTTTCATTATACATTGGTTAGATTGCCCCCACCGTCTCCCCCCACATGACCCTCTCCCTGACCCACTTAAAGGAATTGCAAGAGGTTTAATCATTCTATTTCACATATGTATATGAAGCCTGTCAACCGTATTCCTTCACCTTCATCTCTTCCATTCACCCTCCCACAAGTACCCCCCCACACATACTTTATCTATTTTACAGTTCTATCTTTCATCAAAGGGGTTTCTCACTGTCTTCCCACCATTTTACTTTGGTTCATTCTACCTCTTCCATTACTCTCCTTTACCCCTTCCCTCCCTCTCTCCATTATTCAACAGCTTGCAATACATGTCATTATATCCTCTATCTGCACAGATGTTATACATTTCAATATTGTTGATGCTCTATTATTTTATTTTATTTTCCCTCCTACCTATAGTTCCATAGAGTAGTTCCATTATTACATGTTCTACGTATAAGTTTGCATATGATCATGTTTGCTCTTGTGTATATGTTCATCTTTTGGATCTATCTTCCACATATGGGAGAAAACATGTGACCTTTGTTTTTCTGAGCCTGGCTGACTTCAGTGAACATGATGTCCTCCAGTGGCATTCATTTACCTTTAAATCACATGGTGTCATTCTTCTTTATGGCTGAATGAAACTCCATTGTATTTATTTACCAGATTTTCTTGATCCCTTAATTAGTTGTAGGACATCTTAGCTGTTTCCATAACTTGGCTATTGAGAACAGTGCTACAATAAACATGGGTGTGCAAGTTTCTCTGTTGTATCCTGACTTACGTTTGTCCCAATGCATGCCCAGGAGCTATTACTGGATCATATGGCAGTTCTGGTTTAGCTTTTAAGGAATCTTCATACTGATTCCATAATGGTTGTTCTAGTTTGCATTACCAACAGTGTATGAAGGTACTTGTTTCACAAATCTTTTTCCACCTTTTCACTCTAAGCCAGTATTTGTTTTCCTTGGTGAGATGTGTTTCTCATAAGCAACAAATGATTCAGTTTTGTTTTTTAATTCAATTTGCTATTTTATGTCTTTACTTTGGGCATTGAGGCCATTAACATTCAATGTTAGTACTGAGAGGTATGTGGTGTTTCTAGTCATTTTTATTCCCCCTGTTGTTTACTTTCCCTTTATTCCTTGTTTGCTAGTCTGCTTGGTCAAAGAGGTTTAATCATTCTTGCATTTTCCTAGCTCATTCTAATTTCTCTTCCCCTCCTTTTTCTTCTTTTCCTCTTTCTTCTTCCTTTAAGTATTTTGTGCAGTGCTGGTTTTGTGGTCATGAATTGCTTTAGTTTTTGTTTATTATGGAAGGTTTTCATTTTTCCTTCAATTAGGAAGAATAGTTTTGCTGGATAAACTAGTCTAAGTTGACAGTTGTTTTCTTTTATGGCCTGAAATATATCTTTCCATGACCTTGCATTTAGAGTTCATGTTGAGAAATTTGCTGTTAATCTAATGGATTTTCCTTTGTATGTGACCTATCTTTTCTCTTTTGAGGTTTCAGTATTCTTTCTTTGTTCTGTATATTGAGTGTTTGGTTATGATATGCTGATGGTGTTTCTCTTCCAGTCCTGATGGTTTGGTGTTCTGTAAGCCTTTTGAACCTGGATGTCCCTCCCTTTCTCAAGGTTGGGGAAAGTTTTCAGCTACTATGCTATTGAATAAGTTATCTATGCCTTTAGTATGTTCTCTTCTCCTTCTTCTATAACCATGACTCATAGATTTGTTCTTTTGATGGTGTCCCAGACTCCTTCCATATTTCATTCATATTTTCTTAGCATTTTTCTATGGTCTTTCACTGCTTGGTCTAATTCCTCGCTTGGTCTTCTATTTCTGACGCTCTTATTTTTCAACTTGCCCCACTCAATCAAAAAAAAGCCAAGCTTTTGATTGAGTTTTTATTTGGGATATTGAACTGTTTGTTTCAAATTGGTCATTTTTTAGGATGTCTATGTTTTTATTGATTTCCTCTTTCATATCCTGCATAGTCTTCTGAAGTTCATTCCTGAATTTCATGTTTGTTTAAATTCTCTTTGAACTCTTATAGTCATTTACTCACATCTTCTTTGAGTTCAGTCAGTAGCTTATGTGTCTCCTCTTTGAGCTAATTGATCATTTTTACTATTATATTTTGGAATTTAATTTTTGATATTTCCTCCTCCTCACTATTGTTTAGATTCAATTGGTGAAGTTGACTTTCAAGGGAGAGCTGTTATCTTGTTGCTTCATGTTTCTGTTGAGATTTACACAACTAGAGTCATTTTTGGTTGGAGGTTCCAATCCTCTGTTCTCCTTTTGGTGGGGTTTTATGAAAGATTATACAGAACTGTGCAGTGGTTGAGTTCTAGTGTTTTTCTTATATCTAGATCGGGTATAGTGGCTCAATAATAAATTCTTCAGCTTCTTATTCTCAAGATGCTGGATTCTGCCCCCTGTTCCACATAGGGTGAGGTGGCTTAGCTATTAACACTATCACAGTTGTTAAACTGCAGACTTGAAATTACAGTAATTCCTAACAAGGATCAGTTACTGCTACTGTTCTAAGTATCTTTAGTTGTCTATTGGAGCAAAGATGATCTTCATAATTGTAGAAGACTAAGGGTAGTAAGGGTTGTGATAAGAGGGAGACAAGTAAATAATACTAGGTGAAAAGTTTATGCAGCAGAAAGGTGTGGTGGTTGAGCTGATAGAAGAGTTAGTTAAAAAGCAGACTTGCATAGGTAGAAAAGATCAAGTAGGTAATAAGATAGGAGAGCGGGGAGAACAATGGAGGAAATTGAACAGATAAACAAACACCACAGAATGAAGGAGGATTGTGGATGGGTAAAGAGAGAGAAGGGAAATTGAGAGCTAGGAAGTTGTTCTAGTGGTTGACAGGTGGAAAGTATAAATTGGAGAGGGTGGTAGAAAAGGGGAAGAGAAGAAATAGTTTAGGGTTACAAACTTAAAGATGGTTTATAGGGCTCTCATATGATGAGTATAGTGAGGGGTAAGGGAGGAAGGGTTAAGGAGAAAACTGGGGAGTAAGAATGCAAAACTGCTGTTGGGATATACAGAAAAAGAAGCTACAAATGAGTAAAAAATCTGCACCACCCATTTAGCAGCAATGAACACAAATTTTATATAAAAATTGAGAAGTTTCTTTTGCTCTTGTGAACAGTTGATCTTTCCCCACCCCTGTGTGTTTGAGTCTCTTAGTCCACTAGATGGTAGGCTAAATGGATAGCTGCCTTTGGAATGGTCCCAGATGCTGGGGGGAAGGGGATGATTAGAGATTTAAGTAGGATCTTTGGAGTTCATATTGTCAACTTGTCAGACTCACCCCATCCACACTTGCAACTTTCCCTTCTCTCAAGTTTACCAAAACATATAGTATGTAGTTATACATAAATGCAGGGTTTTTGCCCAGATGGCAGCACTGGTGGAGGTCTCTGATAGGGTTGGATGTGCAGCTTGCTGTTGGTAGCACCATCCCTGCTACTGTTGATATTGCTGCAGACTCAGCAACTTCTTGGGCCACAATGTGCCATGTTCCCTGGGACCTCTGTGGACTGCCACTGGGTCCTAGTAAATTTTCCCTGGTGGATACCAGTTCCTCACTGGTCATCACTGCCAAACTAATAGGCATACAGGCTCCAGTGGAGTCATGTGGGCTTCGGGGGGGGTGGATCACACAGGCTCTAGGGAAGGTCTTTGTTCAAAGGCCTCTTGTGGCATGGTGCAGGTACACCTCTGTTTGCCATATACCAGCAGCTTTCCTCAGCAGGTCACACGCTGGCTCCTTTTTTTTTTTGGATACTGACCTTCTCCACATGGTTCTTGTGGTGAAGATTTCAACTTCTTCCCTGCTGGAGGAGCTGGTGCTGGACTCCAGTCCCATGAGGAGTATAAACCTGCAAACTGTTCATTTGGGTGTTCTGTTGCTTCGCTTTTTTGGGATTCGAAAAGAGTTCTCCTACTTGCTGACTCTGGGATGTGAGATGCTTCTTCCAGTGCCCTCAGTTAACACCTTTGTCCAGGTTTGTTAGAGCCCCAGTGTTTGGGACTGTAAATAATCTGCCATCTTGCCCACATACTTCTTTTTATTTATTTTTAACCCAACTCATTTA